GAGACTACATGAACAATTATATGCCAACCAACTGGACAACCTAGAAGAAATAAATAAGTTCCTAGAAACATAAAATCTTCTAAGACTGACTCATGAGGAAATAAAAAATCTAATTGGCCAATTACTATTAAGGAGATTCAATCAGTAATCAAAAGCCTCCTAACAAATAAAATTTCAGGACCAGATGGCTTCAATGGTGAATTCTACCAAATATTTAAAGATTTAATACCTATATTTCTCAATCTATTCCAAAAAATTGAAGAAGAGGGAACACTTCTAAATTCACTTTGTGATGCCAGCATTACTCTGATACTAAAACCAGACAAGGACACAAGGATGGAAGGGAGGGAGGGAGAACATGAAAAGATGCTCAGCATCACTAATCATCAGGGAAATGCAAATCAAAACCACAGTGAGACATCACCTCATACCTGTTAGAATGACAATTATTGACCAGACAAGAAATAACAAGTGTGGGTGTGGATGTAGAGAAAAGGGAACCCCCATGGACTGTTTGTAGAGAAATGTAAATTGGTACAGCCACTATGTAAAACAGTATGAAGTTTCCTCAAAAGATTACAAATAGAACTACCATCTGATAACAATTCCATTTCTGGGTGTTTATCTGAAGGAAACTAAAGCACTAATTCAAGAAGATATGTGCACCCCTACGTTCGGTGCAACATTATTTACAATAGCCAAGGTATGGAAACAACCTGAGTGTCCACTGATGGATAAATTAAGAAGATATGGTGTGTCTATATATAGATTCACACACACACACACAGTGGAATACTACCCATTCATTTAAAAAAAAAGAACGAATCTTGCTCTTTGTGACTAGCATGGATGGACAATGAAGATATTGCACTAAATTAAGTAAGTCAGACAAAGACAAATACCATATGATCTCACTCAAATGGGTAATCTAAAAACAAAATGAACAAACAAAACAACAAAACTCATAGATACAAAGAACAGTGTTGGTTGCTGGGGGGCACTGGAGGGAGGTGAGATGCATGAAGAAGGTCAGGAGGTACAGACTTCCATTTGTGAAATGAATGGTTCGTGGGGAAGCGGTACGCCACATTGTGACTGTAGTCAGTGGTGTTGTAGTGCATATTTGAAGGTTGCAAAGAGAATGTGAATATTGAAAGTTCTCATCATAAGAAGAAAAAAGATTGTAACATTGGATGGTGACAGATGGTGACTAGACTTACTATTCTGATCATTTTGCAGAATATGCAAATGTCAAATCATTATATTGTACTCTGAAACTAATATATGTTGATTATTCCTTAATTTAAAAAAAGAATAATTAAAAATAGGAAATAAAAAGTAGCTAGATGTTTTTTTCCAAGTTGAATGTGAGTTCCAATCTTAGATAACTCTTCCCCTTGGTTGTAAACATAGCATCCCTTCTCATTCTAGTTGCTTTTGTGAAAGAGCCAAATGATTTTTAATTTGTCCAATAGTGATTTACATACACACTGCATTCATGGGATTATTTTATGAATACTCTAAACTTATTAATACGTTTTTTCATGAACTTATTCAATATAGTGACCACTTCTGATGTGAAAAATCTCCAATTCTTGCCACTCAAAATCAAATATTACCTTTTATACTGCTTTTGAAAAGGCGTTTTCTCAACTATTTATTGCATATGGTAATAATACATAGCTCATCAATCATCTCTTACAGACACTGATGGGAAAAAATGACTCTGTGTTGAGTTTTATTTGCTCAGAGATTTGGGGTGAATGTTAAATTTGCTATTTTAACTGCAGCCAGGAAAATGAATGCCAGTTTGCAAATGAATTTGTAAGCTTTGGAACCATTGATATTTTCATGCCCACATGTAAGCAGAACACTGCTGGGTATTTGATTGCTTTATAACTAGACATACATGATATAAACATAAGCACAAAAATTTAGGTAAGTTAACTTTTGCATACAATTAAATTAATACAAATAGAGACTTATTAGAAATATAATTAGACCAGTTTTAGAGTTATTCAATCTAATTGTTCTAGTCACATCTTACATATATAATAAATTCAATGTAAATTTTAAACTTCCCAGAAAGTTTTAATAAAAAAATTTGCTAGCCATTGAACTAACCTAGTCCATTATGCTAAGGGAGTAGTTTTATTTCCAAATTTCACTGAATCGAAGATTCTTTCTATTGGAAGATGTACCTTATATACTACCAAGAAAGAAAAATATTCTAAAACTGTGATATAATACTTTATTATTGCTTAGAATTCCAATTTTATGCTTAATAAAAGAGCTATTTTTACTCGTGAGTATGTATATAAAAAATAAAATAAATGTATTCCTCAAAATCTCTGCAAAGTCCAGTTCTTCTGTATCACTTTTAACTCAGAATTGTCACTATCATATTTTTCATACATATTACCTTTTGTGTTATCGAGAACATTGGTTCTATAGCCTTTCTGAAAATAGTGCCCTAATTTCATGTCTAGTATTTTCTTCCCAGTTATGAAAACTCTGCCAATCACTTGACAATTTGAAGTTGGCACTTTGTCTTCGAGAAGATTTCAGTGAAAGGTTTTAAGAAAACAACCAGTCCTCATATTCCTTTCCAAAACTGTCTTTAAATAATTGTTGACAGAAAAATCAAGGCATTGTGATTGTTCTGTCGTGTCCAGGAATATAAACCAAGTTCATTCCCGCAGCAATAACTATGGCCTGACTGCTCATTGTCTGATGCAGATTATAAGATACCACGTGTTGTAAGAGATCCTGATTTCACAATGTTAAAATGTGGAAAAACGTGTGCTTTAGAATCTGTGAAATATGGTAATAATATTACTAAGTTTTCTTATAATTGCAATAACTTATACACTTACAGCAAAACTTCTTTATATGCCACATTGGCCACCATGCTATCTGGAGCTCCTATGGGTAAATCCTTCCTGTATAAACGTAAAGAAATGTTCATGCAAGAAGTAGCTCAATTTCTAAACAACCTCTGTATTCCAGAATTTCATCTTCTGATTTATTAAGGGTCATGACACAGATGCTCACTGGGAATTGCTGACTATGAAAGCAAAGGGGGTTCGGAGACATTCTGGAGTTAGAGTTTTTCCTTTACTATATTCCACTGAACACAATTATAGGTTTTTCTGTTACTTTTAAATCTCTATATTTTGGGTTTTATCCATTAATAATGAATTTCAATGGTTCTGGCAAAATTTAACAAGGGAATTGCATGTAATCTTAGAGTCACTATTCTGTTTAGGGATTGGCTAAAAAAAAATTCAGGCATTCAACAGATATTGAATTTATTCTGCCTACTTAATTTGGAGCCATTATTTTGAAATTATTTCTTGCTTTGTCCATAACATTTTAATTTTTTATGGCACATCTCAAATCAGCAATCACATGTTCCCTGGACTGGACTTTGGCTTCAACTGGCTCTGTAAAGATAGTTACAGCATATTGTACCTTGAATGCAGCTGTTTTCAAAATTACTGTCTGTCTCTTAGGTTGCTAAAAAATTTTTCACCTTGATTTTTAATCTCCTTTGCCTTTATGAGAATATACCTCTTTCAGTAGGTCCCCACGTGTTCTTCACATAGGACATCACTACACCTGACTCCTAAAAGAGTCTGTCTTTTTAGACTGGCTTTCAAATAATTCCCTCTTTTAGAATAACCTTTAGACTCTTTCCACTCCTTTCTCCCCTCGCTGTTTAGCTCTTACTTATACGAAACTAAGATTTGTAAATCCTTGAGGTAGCATTCAGATCATGAGGAACTAATTGTTTGGGATTCAGATTTATAAAATGAGAGCAGAATTCAAATAGTAGAAGTTCCTGAATCTGATACATTGAAACCTTTATTTTAAATGATGCGCCCTCTATTCTCTATGAAAGAAAAAAGATTAGGCCAAAAAGTCAGTGTTTGTAACTTGAATTGCTTCAACAATCTCCAAAATCGCAGTGGCATATCACAACAAAATCTAGTTGGTGGATTTCAGACTCAGTTTTCATCACAGTTATTCTAATATCTCCAGCAAATATTTTATGAATTATATATGCTTCCCTGCAAAGGATTGGCTTCATTTGCAAAGGAGTATGGAAAATTTCACCCTTTTTAAGGGTTTTATTTTATTTGTTAGATAAAAGCTTTATTGAATATAATTCATATACCATACAACTCACTTTTTAAAGCCTACAATTCAGTAATTTTTAGTATATTTACAGAGCTGTGCAACCACCGCCATTGTTTAATTTCAAATCATTTTTGTTACTCCAAAAAGAAGCCTCATGCCCATTAGTAGCCATTCCCCTTTCCCTCTTCTCCCCAGCCTCTGATAGCCACTAACCTACTTTCTGTCTCTATGGATTTGCCTATTCTGGACATTCTGTGTAAGGAATCATATAGTATGTGATTTTTTTTTGTGACTGGCTTCTTTCATTTAGCATGTTTTCAAGGTTTAACCTAGCATGTAAGCATATTCAACTTCATTACTTGTCATGGCTGAAAAACCCCTTTGTATGACTCTACTATATTTCACTTACCCATTCAATTGACAGGCATTTGGGTTGCTTCCACTTCTTGGCTATTATGAATAACACTGCTATGAGCGTTCATGTACAAGTTTTTTGTGTGGACGTATGTTTTCTTTTCTCTTGGGTAGGAGTGGAATTGCTGGGTCATATGGTAACTGTACATTAAAATTTTTGAGGGACTGCCAAGTTCTTTTCCAAAGCACCGTTATATAGTCCCACCAGCAACACGAGGGTTGAAAGGTTTAAGTTTTAACTCACTCTATACTCCAAAAAAGACAAGCCACATATGTTTTAAATTTACACTTTGCATTTCATTATCCTCATAACCATCTTGCACTTTCTAAAGCAAAGACATGAAATATCTTCTCTTTACTGTGGCATTATAAGTCACAGTATGGGGAGATAATACTTAGAAGTGAGATAATACCTCAGTAGTTTCCTGTTTTATTTATTCCAGCCAAGGAGAGATGACAGAAGCAATTAAGTACTTGAAAAAAGTTGTGAAAATTGCAAGAAACAATTTTCAAAGCCTGGATGTTGTGAGAGCAAGTACAATGCTTGGGGACATCTACAATAAAAAAGTGAGTATATGTCTTTCTTGCTTATAGGGAGAAATCTGCAGAGCTTTAAAATTCTACTCCCATTTGATCCTCACGTTCCCACAGTACATCATGCGGAATGCCCCAAGACTGCAGGAATTGCTTCGTGCACAAGGCAGTGGCTGGGAAGAGAAACCCCCTTTCCCCTTTCTTCCTCTTCTTCCCTGACCTAAGTGTTCTCTTAGGCACAGTCACCACAGACTGCTAACACTGATTCATGTCTTCACACCCACTACAGATTCTCAGTGATTTTGGATTTGAAGAGCAATTAAAATGTTT